AAAAAAAAAAATAATAATAATAATAATAATAATAATAATAATAAACACAAATAATGAACACTAACCTGATAGCCTAACCGCTCGGCAAGTGGCTGATACCCGCCCACCTGTTGGAACGCCGGGTAATTGGCAGGGTTATTCATCAATCTACGAGTCCTACGGTGAAACTATTCGAGGTAACCCTGCTCCGGCTGCAGATAATCGTCCACAGGGGAAATTGGGAGGAGACGATTGGCTCTATCATCGGTCCATGAGCTCAGAATAGGTGCATGGAATGCGGCCGAATCATAAAATGCTCTCCCAGTCATCCCCTGCCCTCTGTGGTGTGCGTCCCAGTCTCGCTCATCCCGAATGATCGGATCTTGGGGGATGGATTGGCGACACCTAAATTGCCGGAGGACCCTATCAGGCAGGTACCTCCCGGGTGCACCAACTGAAGATCCACCCCCGGTACGTCCAAAATTGTTGATCGTCTGTGCACGCATCCGGGAGAGAATCACTGTTCAGGACGTTTTGATAGGGTTGCCAATCGAACTGTAATAAAAAAATAACAAGTGTATTAGTAATTAAGTTATTACAAAATTTAAAAAAAAAAAAAACAAAGATAAATCACATAAAAATAAGAACTGTAAAAAGAAATAAACAATTGAATTAAAAACATTACCTCATCCTCTCTCAGCCCTGTAAACTGATCCCGGTAGGCGGCCAATGTAGTGGCTATGTTTGACCTAGATTTCGGTCCCACCCACCTTAAAAATCACAAAAAAAAAGTTTGTAATCACAAAATTTGATAATGAAAATAATGTACGGATTAAATAAAAATAAAAGTGATTACCTCGCTCCCAATGGACAATCAGGCACTTTATCAAACAAACTTTTTTTCACCTTTGGGTGAATACGAGGGATATGCTCCCATGTCCAAACCTAAACAAATGGACATTAATTTTGTTATTAAGTATTAGTCGAAGTAAGAAAAATAAAATATTAAATTTTCAAATAATAATTAAATAAATTTACCTGGATCAATTGAATGCAGTTCTTGATCCACTTCTCTTCGGCCATGAACGAGATCGCCAACGCTCTGTATACTCCGGCCAAGAGCGCTGAACCCCAGCTGTACCCCTTAATACCAGCGAAGTCCTCTAGCAGCTGGAGCCAGTAAAGTGGCACGCCATCCGCCCGCTGGTCGGGGTAGATGAAGGACCCAATGCACCACAAGATAAGGGCCCTCGCCCTCTGCTCGTACACGATGTCCGATAGTCCTTCTTGCAACTCAGTCTTGCAAGATCTCTCCAAAACCCCGATATGCAACCACTGGCCTTTAATCTCCCACGTGCTAGGGTCCTGTGTTGCTTGCTCTGCCTCGGTGGTGGGAGGATTCTGAGAGTGGTTTTTCCATATTAAAAATGATAAAATTGAGTTGACATATATTTAAAAAAAAAAAAAATTTAGGAAAAATATACCTGAACGTAGGGCTGAACCCCTAGCAAATCCTTGCACCTCTCTCGCCACTGCAGGGGTGATAGCTCTAGAGTCACTCCCAAAACAGCAGCTCCATTGATTGGCAGACCGAACAGGACTTGTACGTCCTGGAGCGTGATGGTGGCCTCGCCGAAATCGAAATGGAACGTATTCGTCTCTGGGCGTCACCTCTCCACGAGAGCAGTTGTAAAGCCCCGTTCGAATATTGGATTTTTTTTTGTATTATTTTTATTTCTTGACATTATTATTATTATTTGAATTAATTGTCTATATTGTATTATGGCTCGACACTTTCCGTTTAGACTTATTATTATTTAATTAGATGTCGTATAATGAATTACATAAGTCGTAATAATTTCATTTTGTTCGACGACAATCGAAGTCGCTCATCGCTCGTAAATCCTCAGTATTCTCGCAACGTCTTTCGAGTCGTAAGTTTATTTCTCGATCTCTTTGTAAATTTTGTTTCGGCCAATTGGAACTTAATTCTAGTCCATTTGTGATAATTAATTTCAGCCCAAAGTGTTAAAAAGGTCTTTGGTCCATTTAGATGAGCATTTTAGCCTATTGGGTAATTATATTTGGCCCAAGTTGAAATTGGATCATTGGCTCATTTGAATAAAAATCTACAGCCTTTTTATTCTTTTCTCTTTCCCCACGTGCGCAGACCGGGTCGTCCTCCATCGCAACTAAAATTCTGTTCCGTGAGATATCTTTTTCACGATCGATCTCCTCTCTTTTACATAAGACTCGGGCCAAATGAGTTTGTTCTCCATCGTTCAAATCCTCCCAAACAACCTTTATCCATCATCTACCATTTCAACATTTGAAGTCAAATATCAACAACATAAGAAGTTCAAATACAGGAGAATCAGAGTTAAGTCTCGATCGCGAGAGTCGAGCCATTGCCCCTGATAACCGCTCTCGATCGATACTCCCTTCAGCAGATGCAATCAGCCGCCGTCCAATCATCCCAGCCACCCCGCGACAGCCGCGAATCCGCCCAGCCTAGCCGTGGTCCTCCTACCACTGCAACTCGCGGCCAAACCTGCACGCCATCTCTGCTCGAGCATGTTTTTTCGTAACGCGAACCGCCCGCAGTGAGCCATCAAGCAGCAATCCATCTCGAGAAACCGCGGCCATCAACCACCACGTCGAGAAGCCTCTGGTCGTTGATTAGATTCGAGCAGATCGTCAACTAAGCAAACCCCGTTCATCCTATTCGATCGCGAGCTGACGCTGGAACCTCATCGTCGGCAACCTCTCCAAATGATGAGCTAATCATGGTCGGTCCGCCCACCACCGTGAACAGTCGCACACCGATGTCCACCGTCCATCGGCCATCGATGAACCTCTGAGTCTCCGCCAAAGCCACAAATGGCCGCTCCCAAGCTAGGAGTTCACCCCTCAAAAAGTCGTCGCTCGTCACGCACATAGGGCCGACGTACAGCCGAACCGCCGCTTGGCCAATCCCTAAGTGCATCGTTGCCGAACCCACGCCGAATTGGACCTTCTCAGATTTGAAATTGAGGGGCGATTTCTGAAATTCGGATGTTTTGGTATGAAATTAAGAAGAAGGAGGAGATGATGGCATGGAAAAGAATGAGTGGCGAAATTTTTTTTATTTTCGGGGGAGAATTTCCTTGAAGGTGCCGATCGGGTTTTACAGAGAAAGATGAGAGTACGGGAAATAAGAAACGAGAAGAGGAGAAGTGAAGAAGGAAGAAAAATGGGGGGAGAAAGAAAAAGGAAAAAAAAATAAAAATAAATAAATAAAGAAAAAGAAAGAAAATTAATGGAAAGAAGGATTTTTGGGCCATGAATGTGATTGAGCTCAAATTAAAAATGACAATTTGGGCTTTTGCCAAATATTAAGTTTGGACATTTGGATTAAGA